AAACCATCATTTAAAAACTGCATGTTGCGTGTAGCTTGCAGCCAACCACGATCAGACCAACACACAGAGCTGAGGCGAAACAGAAAGCTGGTCTCTGTGAGCGAGCACTTTGACTGCACGGTGCAAGGCAGCAAGTAAAACACGCACTTGCAGATTTGTTGCTGCATATTACCGCATGCTGCAACAAACAGGGCAGAGGGGGGGGCTGTGTGCATGCAGAGGGTGCAAGGCACATGACATTTCATTTTTTAAGGATGGGGTCTCACAAGACCTTAAAATACAAGGTAAAGGGAAAGACTGAAACATTCTCGTCTTACTGAGGGCAGGATTCGGATTTTACACGTCACCGGGATGGACACTCCCGTCACGAGCGTCCTCAGGATCTGAGGTGAAGACCAAAGTCAGAATTAAAAACATTCCTGTTATCCTGACGTGATCTCTTAGCTCGCAGCTCACCGCTTCGATCTTATCAGGATCCGACAGGAGAGCAGCTCCCATCCCGCCCTGCAGGACAGCAGAGGTCAGAGGTCAGCCACAGGGACAGAGGGTCACAGCGTCAGCGGGAGGCGACTGGACTCACCTTGGTGGAGTACTCCTTTGGACAGCCCATGTTCACGTCGACAGCAGCCACGTCCTTCTCCCTGTGAGGAAGCAGCTTGTTATCACAAAGTAAGTTTAAAGTTACTGTAGCGAGGAAGGCGGTGCCGAGCTTGGCGGCACGAGCACTTCACTTTGAACTCACACGAGTCGGGCCACAGCCAACGCTCTGTCCGGGTCAGCGGTTCCCTGAAAGACAAAAGGAAGACTGTGTTCGAGGTTTCCCCTCACACACTGTTCATATTTCATGTCTTCACAGCACGTTGAACCTCCCCAATAATAATGCCACTCCTGAACTTTGAACTACAGATGCTTTTAGGACATCTGACATAATAAATGGAAGATTAATCCTTCAATACTGTTTCAGAGAGTAGCCTAGTAGATTGACCCTGTGACCCGTCTCTGCAGAGGACCAATCAGACTAATCGTTTCCATAGCAAACAATAAGCAGAAAGCCAATAAAGTAATTTTGTTTCGATGCCATTCTCTCGCTTATAAGCTTCCAGTCTCACCATCTGGAAGACGACGTTGCCCTTCTCCCTCTCACAGGTCCTGAACATCACTCGGTCATCCGGAGCCACGAAATCCACCGTCTCCAGCACGTCTGATGCACACACAGTTATGAGAAAGGTCTAAATGAACAGCCGGTGTGAAGGGCAGCGAAGGGCACAGATTCTTACCGTTTACCACTCTGTGACACTGGGCCATCTTGATGTCAATCAGCTCCTGCAACAGACACCAAAGGGTCAAAGGGAACTATTCGGATTTTACTTATTTCTTATCA